CCCGTAACAGTGTACTGTTAAATGCAGAACTTCAGAATGTAGTTCAATGAAATGAAGTACTGTGGAAACCTCTTTGGAGAAGGCTGTGTGTTCCTGAGGCAAAAATGAATTGCAGATAGGTGTAAATACCTTCAACAAGTTAAATGATACTTCCATGTGGAAATACTATGAATTAATAATGCCATTAGAGAAAAGCTGAACTCATCCATTCCATCTGTACTGGAGAAGTTATCATTCACTTGCATTATTCAGTCTTCCCAAATGTTGAGGTCCAAACTGTGGAAAGATAGATTTGACAACATTTATTCTGTTGTTAACAGATCAGAACTAAGATAAAATTTTACATGTATCCTTAATTTGATATTTCAATGAGATGACATTTTCATTCAGTAGTCTGATAAATGTTTGCTCTGAAACTACGTTAAAGAAAATGAATGAGCAAGTGCTGATCTTTAGAGTGATCCAACGTATAAATGAGCTAAAAAACCAAAGCGTTGGAAACAAACTGTGTTTGTGAAATCATACTATGTAATAATTTTGTAGATTGAATCTTTGTGGAAGAAATAGGAGCAATCAAAATGTGCTTTTTTATTTTTCTTCTCCACCCTTCTACCCCCCTGCCCCACAAGAGGGCAATGTACAGAAGGTACTATAGAATTCCAGAAATCTTGCACCATATTTGTTTTCTTATCTTGCAGCATGTAGCGATTGGAATTAAGAAGGTATTACATAATTTTTTAGATGAGAAACAAAAGCCAAAATGAGAACCCTAGTGATAAATCTTTCTGATTAATCATGACATATGAACTCTAGGTATTTTGTATTGTTATTTAGCTACATCATAAATCAGGGCACTTCAAGTTCTAGGATGAATAATGTTACAGCTGCTTACCCAATGGCTGCATGGCAATTGCGCCTTACTATTCTTACAGTAAGAAAGGTTTCAGGAGCTGCCTGAATCTGGTCTGTTGAGCTACCCTATTTGTGAACCAAGATTGAAGTTGCCTTTGTCAATTTTGTAGTTGGCCCTGTATTTTTTTAATGTATTCTTTCTTGGAATGTTTGTTCTGCTAAATCCTGTTTTTGCAGAATGTAGCATTGCATTTATCAGCTCTGCAACTATCTTAAAATACAGGTATTTGGAACATCTGAACTCATGCCTATGAATCTTTAAAAAAATTTAAGTCTGAGTAAATAAATGGGATACATGGCTTCTGCGGGCCTTCAGGGCTCCCTTAGCTTTCACTTACTAGCAATGTTATTTTCAGTCCTTGTTAAGAGTAATTTCTGCCCTTTTTTTCCTTACGGTAAAGCTTGTAAAAGGTCAGACATTTGATATCATTACCTTCCCTAGAATGGTGGGTTTCCATGTGGCTTTCTGGATGGATGTTTATCTTGGCGAGCTGCTGCTCTGTTGTGTTTTTTGTTTTGTGGTGTGGTTTTTTTGTTTTTTTTTTTTTTTTTTTTTAGGCATGGCTGATCAAAGGAAGTCTTAGAAAAGTGAAGCATGCAGTGAGTTGTCTGTAAAGGGCCAACTGTTTGTTCTTTTTCTGGCAGTAGGGAAGTTGGCTAGTTTGTGTGTCCTTTGAGACTTGACTGAAAGCTGTTGTATTTGTTAAACGTTGTGGGAATTCATGTCCCTCTGTTACTCCTTTTCTGGATTCAAAAGTGGCTATTTCAGAAATCTTACTATGCTATGTATGCATCTTTATGGTGAGAAGAGGGTACAACTGCAAGGAGTCACTTTGTGGGAGCTAAGTCTCTTCATCTCAGCAGGTTGTTGCTGAAATTTTTATCCATATCACTGTAAAAAACCTGAGCATTCATTTTAAAGGTTTTCCTGCAGTGAGATGTTCTCCACTTCTTTGATGTTATTTGCATCTGGAGTTAATTCACATTCAGAAGTAGGACTTCTGAATTTTCCTTAGGAAGAAGAAAGAAAAGGAAAAAAAAAGAGGAGAGATTGTTAGAAGAGGTATAACCTAAAAGGAGAAGGGAATGTAGAGTTAAGGACAGCAAACCTCCTGTGGATGAGATTGTTGTATGCAAAAGGCCTTCAGGTGGGGTATGTCTCCAGTGGCCTTGCTTGGTAAGCTGTAACCTTGGTAAGATGTCCTGGCAAATGTTGTGTTGATGTTTTGGATCTGGGAGAGGAATTTGATGTGGTTGCTGATGCTTCACTTCACAGAACTTAAAACATATTCTTTCTAGGCTCTTGGTCATTTATGCCTCCTCCCTTCCCCCTGTTCTTGTATCCCTCTTTCTTTCTTGACACATCCTTTTCTGTTGAGACTACTATCGAACTGATTTCAGTACTTTACAGAATTTAATTTGAAGTCCTCCTGACTGTTCCTTTGATCAGAATTCTATGTTTCTTTCCCTTTCAGACAAAATTAACACTGTAAGTAAAAGAACACTAGAAAGTCAACAGGAGAGATTGTAAAACATGTTCATTTAAACGTTTTTCTATTGTTTACTTATATTGCTGTGAAGTTTCATCTTAAAGCATATTAAAGTCATTGGCTCTTTGCTCCAAAATTATAAAAAAAAAAATTTTTTTAGGGTGGTTTGAATTTCCTAGTAAAATAATGAAAGCTAAAGAAACTCAGGTAGTGGCTTTGATTTCCTTTTCATAACTTCCTTCTTGAGGCTTGTTCAGATTTTAGTAAATTGTTTCTCAAGTTTATCTACACATGGATGCTGATGATATAGTAAGCTGGGTAACTAGCACTGACAAAAGGCTTTTGGATCAACAGATTTGATGGGTAATGTGAAAATCGTGGTGTAGATGCTTCTGTTTTTTCTTGATACTTCTTGTTTTCTGGCAGTATGGGCACTTTTGGGACTGTTATGTTTAAGAAATTATTGAAAAGACTGTGCAGTGCATTTGAATCACTCCTCTCCATATTTTTTTTCTTTCAAATGTGTATTTTCCAGGTCTAAAAAGAGCCAAACAAACAATCCCCCCTCCAAAAAACCCCCAAAAGAAAACAAAAACAACCTCCCTGATCTAAAACTCCCTCAACAAGCCTATATTAGGATTTAAACAATTGAAATCCTACCTTATGGTGTACATTGTTGTAATTGACACCTGCACACTTTTTATGAAAGGGAAAACTCCATACTTCTATCCAAGCAGCACACTGGGGGAAAAAAACCACGTACACTTCAGCGTATGAAAAAACCAAACCTAGAAATCTCCATCAGCCTTTTAAAGAGTTCTCTTGGACCTTTGAGTTTTCAGAAGTGTGGAAGAAACAAAAGGACTTTACATATTGTATTCTAGCAAGTATATTTTTGCATGATATTTTGGTGAAGATAGCTTTGGTGCTTTCTTTATTAATTTTCTTGGCTAAATTGTATTTCCTTCCTGGCAAAATTAAGTTACAAGTTTAGTTAAATGGATTTGGGGCTGATTAGAGACAAGGTGATCTTTAAGTAAGTCAGCTGCTATTTGTAGTTCATAAAGTTAGAGATAAATGTGTTTTGCCTTCTAGCTTTGCATCTAGATTGTCAATTAACTAATTCTACTTTATCAGAGAATTTGAGAACCCATTCTCTTATCTTTCAGGCTGATTCCGTAAAATAAGTTTGTGATATTTCTTCTGTTGTGACTGAAATAGAAAGCTGATACTTGGTGATACCTGAATAGAGTATGCACGTATTACATCTTGTCCTGGTGCTTGGTGAGAGTGGTTGTGCAGTTGCTGTTGAACAAATTATGTTTTCTTTTGACAGTCTGGATAATCATTTTGCTAGTTAGAGAAAGATTAGCATGGATAATTTTTAAGATTCAAACAGTTACTGAATTTTCATATGGCTATTCAGACTTACACATCTTAAGTTGTCTTCCTCATCTTTTCAAGCCACTCAGTGGGAGTTTTAAACCCCTTGTGTCAATCCATATGTATGCATTTTTGGTAGCTTTCTGTTGAAGCACCCATTCTGAACAAATAGCCATAGATCATACTGTTCTACTGAGTTTTGTGCGAGTACACAGAAATTCCACCAATAAATAGTTAAAGCAGCAAAATACTTGAGTGCCAGTAGCTTACAAGTAACTTTCACACCTGCAGTTTCTCTGCATCTTCTGACATTGGCTGTGTAAATAAACTATATTATGATGCTAAGGAAAAAGTGACTGTCTAGACTTGTTTTTGATTAAATAGATAAAAATACTGAACTCCTGTATTCTAAGTTGAATTGTTACTTTTGTCAGACTTGTATTTTGTTGGTATTTGTCTGAATTATTTAAACAACTACAGTTTGGGTCTGATTCTGTAATCCTCTAAGAACTGATTTCTACCAGTATGGAAGACTTCTCTTATAGTATAAAGGGTCTGGGTTAAGAAATTATTTTCTCTCTGTTTGCACAATTTCATTCACACTACCAATGCTTCATGTTGTGTTTAAAGAAAAAAAAAAATTTTTTTTTCTCAGCCTCTAGAAAGCACACTTGTATAGCTTTTGGTATTTTGTTCAGTTTAACATGGAAGATACTTATTTAGTATGTAAACTGTAAACACCTTTTTGGGAATGAAACTTAAATCAAATTTCACATTTTTATGCATGAAGATGTCAGTAGGCGAGTCAAAGCTAAAACCTTGCATGAGTTTACAGTAGTATCCCAACAAAAAATAATGTGCAGTTGCAGAAATATAGGAAGATAGAAATCTTCTGTGAGAAATGCACGAAGATCTCTGAAACAGAAGCCATGTCTCTGTTTTTAATCCAGTTTATTTTGTTGATTAATTGATTATTGGGAAGATAGATAATATTAACAACAGTGGATTCATAAGTGCTGGCTATAATTGAAAAATTTCAGTTTGTGTACTTTGAAAGCAAATATAAATACTTGATTTGCAATTAATGTTGTTTCCATTAAAATAGCACGGGACATTATTATTGTCTCAAATTTTGATAACGCTTGATTCTACAAAAAATGGGTTATGTTAAAGATGAAGTTGAACTTAGGTTATATTCTCTTTTATAACTTCTAGAAATATAAAGAGAAAGATAAACACAAGCAAAAATATAAGAAGCAGTCGGAGTCCTCACCATCCTTGGTTCCATCTCTTACTGTAACCACAGAGAAAGTAAGTCAATGTGTTTTTCCTCCTCTTCCACTTCAATTACTTATGTTGAAATTTCATGATGTAATCATTCCACTGTATATACAGGAGCTTTATAATGGCATAGATTCTATAATGATCAAGCACACTTGGTATTTTTTCCTGTAATGTAAAATCCTAGAACACTTTGGGTTTTATCATACGGAGAAAGGCTTAGAGCTTCATAATTGAATAGTGAGTGATTTAATGACCCCAGTCAGATGCCACTGATACTACAGTAAGTTTTATTTCATTGACTTATGTTTAATAATTTGAGAAGTTTTAGAAAAACTTACCTTTGAAATTCACTTGCGTCTACTGAGCTGTTACTGAACCTGTAAGCATTTAAGCTGGTAGTTATGAAATTAGAGCTCATGCTTCGTATACTTGTAATATCACATTGCCTTTTTAGCAGTCTGCTCCATTAGGTTCTGTGGTCTTTCCTTCCTGTTAATGTGCTAGCAAATACCTAACTCAAGGGGCAACATAGAGGGTTAAATAATGAGAGTACTCATTGTACTCTACAAGAATTGCTTTTGCTATCCACCAAAAAAATAACACTAATGGTGACATTACAGAGTGGACAGCAGTATTGAGAAATGGGTTTTCTGACTTCAAACTTGGAAAACATTTGTTCCATTCATGTGGGAATGTTTGACATCTGAGTTGGGGAATCATGGTTTGAATTAATTAGCCATCAGTATGTAGAACATTGTTTTTTAGCAAAGATGCTGAAGCTTGTGTTAACTGTATGTAGTTTGGTTGCTGAGATGCAATATTCAACAAATGTGTCTGTCTGCATATGGTACACAAAGACCTTGTCAGGACAGGGTAAAACAATTGAAATACCAACTTTCTCTAGTCTCTGGAAGTATTCCCTCAACTAGTGGTATCAACTTCAAGAATCGCAACCAAGAAAGTTATTTTTTTGGTACATTTTGGATATTTCTTTATTCTCAGTAGTAGGATTATTAACTTGAGGATGCGTACCTGTTAACATCCTATTAGCTGTGACTCGTGCTTCTGATAAATTAGTCTCGTTTCTGGTTCTGCTGTATTCTTTTTGAAACTTGTGTCAAGTGAGACTTACTACTAGTCAGTGGTTTTCTGAAACTCCCAATAACTCTTTATTTAAAAAAAAAAACAACCTCAAACAAAACAAACCCACAGAAAAAAAAAGCTAGTCAATTTGTCACTTTGCTGTTTTGATTTAAGAGCGATTAGACATTGCAGTCAGTGAGTGTGACAGTTTTTATTGAAATTAAGTTGTAGAATTCCTTGAATAGTATTGACTGGTCCATGCGATTTGTTATTTCATTTTATTAATTTGTCCTGAACATATTCCTGTTGAGTCTCAGACAATGCGTAAAATTCATAACCTGTAAAAGAGGCTTCTTGTGTGGGACCTTCCTTTAAACTCTACAGTTTTTGTTAGGTTTTGTGATACATATCATCTTACCTTTCTTGAATTGCATCCCTTTTGTGATTATCTAATCATCAACATAAGTTTTAACAAAAAATGATATTACTGTATATTTGTGTAAAAGTTAAAGAAAATATATTGAAATACTAGTTATTTTTGAGTCCTACCTATTAGGACTTTCAATGCTGAAGACACAGTTAAATTCTGTTTTTCTGCTAACCTCTTTTCTGGTTGCTTTGTTCTCCCTAGACTTTTCCTAATTACAAGGTTTACGACTCAATGGTGTACAGTTTAAGGTGAACAAGAGTAAAATCCCATTTTTAGCAGACCTCTATTTAATCCAAGTAAAGAATGAAAATCTTGCTGAGTTGTTGGCCATACTGTTAATGGAGATTGTACTATGTATGTATGTATAGCAGGTCAAATGTATTTTTGTAGTTAAATTGATAGGATTTGTAATAGGAACATTTTAGATATTTTTATGTTCTTTTGAATACCTAAACCTCACGTCTTTATAGTTTCAAGAATCATTAAATAGATAACATTACAAAAGAAAGCCTTTCTATGGTTAGTAGCAAGGTAGAGCTAGAGCAAATACTGACGAGAACAGAAACTGTAATTCTAGAACTAAAATTATAACTGCATTAAACTAAAACAGAAGTAGTCATCGTGGAATTTAAATATCAACACGTGTCCTTTTAGGTTTGGGTTTTTTAAAAATCTTTTGCATCTTCTGTTTTCTTCTACCCATCTGCTTAATTTTCTGCCTTTTATAATGCTTCAGATGTCAGGAAAATTGGTGTTCAGTTGTTTTTAATGAAATTACTAAGTTTTTTTTTTTTTTTTTAAAGTATCTACTCAATATTTGGAAGTGATTCTTTTCTGTGGCTAGTTCCTTCAGTTATCTTTTAATTTTTTTTTCCTAACTCCCTTTGACACCATTTACATGCATTTGCTTTTCTAGGTTATAAATCCATAGTGTGTTTCCAAAAAAATTGAAATTTTAGTAATAAAACAAGCTTTGTTTTTCTTCTGAGATAAATACTTGGTTCAGAATATTGTATTAATATGTTACTTTTGTGTGTCCTTTTACATAGAATTGTCAGAATTGATTTGGACTTGATGTCTTTTTCACAGCAGTCTGTCTTGCAGTGAATATGTTATTTTATCATGGTATATAATAATTTCTGCTACCATATTGTTCCTGTGGGGTGAACTGGAATTTGAAATGAATTTTGTTTTTCCTTTTTAAAGAAGTTAAATCCTGTGTGATAACAGTAGTAGTGACGTTTTATGCAGGTGGTGCCTTAAAGCATGTTTTTATCTGGATGAGTGGCTTCTTAAGATAGATTCTTGAAAGGCTACAGAGTAAACTGTGGATTTACATTATGTGAGTTAGTATAATTGGCTCGGCTGTTTGTTCTGCAAAATTTAATTCCAAGAAATTTTACTGAGGTTCCAGTCCAAATACTGTCATGAGATAAGAATATGCCGTTTGAGAGGCATTTTTGTGCATCCCTGTAATGTCTCAGTAAACACTGCTTAGTTTGGATCAGTTAAGTTTGAAAAAGTTTGAAATAAATTCTTAACTTCTCTTTGATTAATGTACTAACAAATTTATCACTTTTCTTTTTGGGCATAGATACAGAATGTGTTAAGAAGGACTAAAATAACAGGAATTTGAGTTCTCTCTCTACTGTTTCTTCTGGCCTTCCTCTTAGTTGGGAAGAGCCATCAGCCTTATATTTAGTCCTCATAAATGTTTCTGTCTCAGACTTTGAGCTTTGGCTTGTATTGAGAGTTTAAAAATATGTGTGGTTTAACAGGTCTAGAAAAATGCAGTGTCCTTTTGGGGTGTGTGTGTGTGTGTGTTATTAAAACAAAACTCCAAAACATAGATGTACACAAAGATATACAAGACAGTGTATCTGCATTCACATTGTAGTCAGTAACCAAATGAAAGATACTGCAAACAGAAAGTACAGCTGTCTGAATTTTATCTGTAGTAGTAGAGATGATGATGCTAACCCAGTGGGATGGGGAAGAGAATCAGGGAAAAAAGTAAAGCTTGTGGGTTGAGATAAGAACAGTTTAATAGGACAGAAAGGAAGAAAGTAATAATGATAATAATACCAGTAACAACAACGATAGGAATATACAAAACAAGTGATGCACAATGCAATTGCTCACCACTTGCTGACTGATGCCCAGTTAGTTCCTGAGCAGCAATCCCCCTGCCAGCCAACTCCCCCCAGTTTATATACTGGGCATGATGTCACATGGTATGGAATACCCCTTTGGCCAGTTTGGGTCCGCTGCCCTGGCTGTGTCCCCTCCCAACTTCTTGTGCCCCTCCAGCCTTCTTGCTGGCTGGGCATGAGAAGCTGAAAAATCCTTGACTTGGTATAAACATTACTTAGTGACAACTGAAAACAACAGTGTGTTATCAACATTATTCTCATCCTGAATCCAGAACATAACACTATACCAGCTACTAGGAGGACAATTAACTCTATCCCAGCTGAAACCAGGACACCTTCTCTGTGTAAGAGTACCACCTTATACATCTGTATTAGGGCTAACAGCTTCTCAAGCCTTGGGTCGTACTGTGTATAGCAAGAATGATTACTATGCCTTTACCATAAATCTAAAGCTTTCCCAGCAGTTTTAAGACTTGCTACAGATGGGTGGTATAACTCTTCAGGGTGCACAGAGTGATATATGGGGGGCATAAAAATGACAGTAGTGCTCTGTGCACCAAGTCGGCAATGTGAAAGTGTGCTTTTTGGAAAAAAACCTGCAAACTGGTTTATGGGAAGCATAAAGGAACCCTGATACATACAGAGTTAGCTTGGTAATTGCACTAGCAAATACTGATTCATTTTTTGAGAACAGGATTAACATTCATGAAATAGTCGAGTCCTCCTAGATAAACAAAGGAATGGAGTTGGGTGACAGCATTGGGGGAATCTCCTTTTTGGGCGATGTCTGTACTGAAATGAAGGAAAATGACTGACTGCAGTGTGCACAGTGAAGGGGGGAGTCTCGAGTAGTATATTCCATTTAAAAAGCACGTGCTGGGAGGGGACAGCATTGTAAGCTTGGGTGGCCTGCAGAGGCTGAAGTCGGTCAGTAATTAACCAAAGGTGTTCTGCTTCTATCCTCAGATCCTTGCTCCCTACCACACTTACTGTCCTGACCTCAAAAAAAATCCAAAACAAACGAACAGTATAACTTTGCCATGGCATATTAAGGTTTTTCTGAGACATTTCTATTAGGCCTTTGTCTTTTAGAACTTAGCATTTTAGAAAAGCAGTTTGTTCAGTGGTGTGTAGGTTATTGTATGAACCAATTAGCTTAATAATCTAAAGTTTGTGCTGCAGTTTCACCTTAAATCCTATTGCATATCTTGTGGATTCTCAAAGCAATTGATGTATGTGTATCTGGTTTAGGGCACTTTGTTGCAGTTAACTCCTTAAAGTAAGGAATATAAACTGTGGAAAAAAAAGGACTGACCAAATGATACCAATTTTGCTTTGCTTAGGGTATATTGCATCATATTAGTGTTCAAGATATTCTGAGTAAGTGTGTAGGTTTCAGTATACTTTACAGCACCTTCTGAAATGCAAATACCTGTTGGAATGCAAAATTTTCAAAAGCAGAACTGTGATGTGCATGCATGTGCACCAAAATCTAAGAGCAGGATTCAGACTTGCAGTCGAACCAAGTCTCTGCACGGTACATGCAAATTAATGCCTACTTGTCATTGCCTGGCCCTAGCCAGTCTGTAAAGCTATGTTAAGCTCTTTATTTCCCTTTTAGATAAATAAATAAATAAATCCTGCAGTAATGGGGAAGAGGTACTAGATAACATCAAACTATGATTGTCGATACCTATAATTGTCCTTGCAATTAATATTCAGCTGAGTGGATAGGAGATAAGAATTAGGAAAGGAGGGTTTTGGGTAAGAGGAGAGAGAAATCCTGGATCCTAGAAAAAGCCTGACTTTTGGTTTGGGTTATGGCATGTCTGGAAACCCTTTGTTCAGATGACCCAGATTTGAACCACTGCTTCTTGACTCGAGTCACACATCAGTTTCAGGAAAATTGAACATACTTGTGGACTGGAATAGTTCAGAAAGTTAACTACTAAACTTAGAATTGGCACCACCTTCATTAGAAACACTTAGCAGTATAACAACATGAATTTGAGGTAAATTATTTTTAACATTGTACTTTAACAGACTTAAACTGATTTTTCTTCACTGTTATTCAGAAAATCCATAATATATTTTTATTGCAGTTCATAATAATTCATACAGTGTGGTATGCAAACAGATCGAAATTTTCATCTTCCTCAAAGCTTGCGTATTTAGTTGTCTTCTGGCATTTGCAACTGAAAAGTAAGTTCTGTATAAATGTTTTAGCTGTTTTAGTAAACTATGGAAAACTTTTTCTACCACCTATACAAAGATGTATGTAAAGATGAAGAAATGTTCTGCTGTAGGCCTAAATTCGGCAAGCATCACAGTCGGGGAAGAGAAAATGTGTGTATATGCTCAATTTTAAGAGGCATGTGTTTGTGTAGTCTTTAATGGAGATAAATTTAGATACTATTTTAAACTCTTCTCTGTAAAGAACTGAAAAACAAACTAAGCTTGTTTTGAACAGATGAGTAGCTTCTAGGTTTGATCCGTATTTTTTGTTGAAGAAGCTTTATACAGTCAAAAGGCTATGTTACTAGCTGTTTTCAGTATAAATAACAGTAGAATATTATTTCCTTTTTCCTACTTTTGCTTTCATTTTCTTTCTTCTGATATTAAAATTCTGCTATTGCAACAATTTTTTTTTTAAATATGAAAATAATTATTCCTTTGTGTGGTTTCCTAATGCTGTGCACGCAGTTTCCCTGCCTACCTCTTTACTTTCTCTGAACCTATTTTGACTATTGTTCACCAATATGAACAATTCTGACAAAATTTAATGGCAGAATAACAGGCCTAAAGATAAAATTTTTGAAAGCCCTGTGAAGAGTTTATGGGTGTAGGAGAAGGGCCAAAGTTCCTGGGGATGAGTGTGAGTTGAAGAATAAATCTGCACTGGGAGCTCAAGAGTGTGTTAAGGCTTTTTCCTTCCTGTCAGGCAGCAGGTTTGTAGTAGGTAGCCAGTCATTCCTGCATGTGTCTTGGCCAACTAGGTCTCATTTGTCTTCTTTACTTGATGATAATTAAGGAACTGGCTGAATGGGATGGTTCAGATGGCAGGGAATCCTAGAATGATGATGGGAAGTGAAGTCATAAGGGGCAGTTGGGCTTGTTGGAGTTGATTTTGGTTCAGTGTTGAGATTATAAAGTCTTAAAAATGCAAGTTCTTAGGTTCTGAAGCCTTCATCAGTTCCACTGCTGATGGAACAATGTTTCCAGTTTGACAAAACAAACTGCATAAAAATTGTATTTTTGGAAAAGCATTTAAAGTCTCATTTTTTCTTTTTAATTTTTAATTTTAAGCAGTAAAATAACAATATCCTGTTTAAATAGTATATAAAGACTGTGTAACCATAGATTTGAGATTAATCCATTGACCTCAGTGAAGTAAAAATTTCAGCCAAAGCTGACATTATTTTTATGCATTTTTTCCACAAGACGAGGTTTTATGCGCTTCAGTTGTTTGTTGAAAATCTTGACAATTCAGTTTATGTAACTCCTGCTGGTGCTAGTTACCTTAATATTTGAACATATCCAAATTTATTTGAAAGAATGGGTTCTTTTAAACAGTTCTCTTGTTATGTTTTTCTGTGTGACCTAACTGTTTCTTTTCTCTTGCTTCTTCTCTCTTATCAAAACGCTAGACGTACACGAGCACTAGCAACAACTCCATGTCGGGCTCCTTGAAGCGGTTGGAAGATACCACAGCTCGATTTACAAATGCAAATTTCCAGGAAGTTTCTACACACGTTTCAAGTGGAAAAGATTCTTCAGAGGCTAGAGGGTCAGAGAGCAAAGGGAAGAAGTCTGCAGGTCACAGCTCAGGTCAGAGGGGAAGAAAGCCTGGTGCTGGAAGAAATCCAGGATCAGCTGTGACTGCAGCTAGCCCTTTTCAGCAAGGTATTAATTGTTATGTGGTAATGCGACCTCTGCTTTGACTTGAATTGGAAATCTTACATATTTAAAACTTAAAAAGTAGTTCATACTTCATCCTCAATAATGAGAATGTTGTTTCACTTTAGGGGGGGAAAACCTTTTTTTCAGGGAAAAAGTCTTTATTGTCATAACATGAAAAAGAAGGTCATGCATCTTTAAAGGGCAAAGCTGATGCTTTTGTTTAGACTATTAAGGTAGTCTCTTTAACTGCTAAAACCAGAAGTTTATGTGCTTAAAAGTTAGTCTGGGGTAAAATTTAACATATGAATTTGAGTCTAGGGGTCTTTCTTAGCTCTTTAAGGGAATAATACTAATGTTTTTTAGTTAGTGCATATTAGAACAAAACTGGACTACCTAATGTATAGGATGCGGTGGCCCCTAAATAATTTTTCAAGATGCAGATGTTTAAAATATACCATTTTCTTCAAGATGAAAGACCTTTTTACTTTTATTTTTTTTGTCATTGAAATACATAAACAGAAGAAAAATGTTATTTTGAAACACAGCAAACTAGACCATCTATAAACTAATTGTTTTTCCATAATTTTCACTGTGGTATGTAGTAGCTGATTGTCCTTTCTGCTTTATGATGTTGCTCTTCCTTTGAGTTTATTTATGCAGTGAACACTTCTAAATTTGTCTAGAACTCCTTCAATATTTCCGTCTTTTTTATTTGGGGGGAAAAAAAAAAAAAGGAAGTGTGGGGTTTTTTGTTTGTTTGGTTGGTTTTTTTATTCTCAAAACTTTGAAAATTTCCCTCTTGAATCCTGCATTTAAAGAAAAATCTTGCTCACTGCAGATGACAAAATAGATCTTCACTATGTGCATGTATTTTCTTTAAAGCTGCATTAAGTGAACTTGATGTAACTTATTTAAAATACAAACCAACAATGTTCTTATGATTTCTAAATTGCTGTATTAATGTAAATTATATTCTAAATGGAATTCTTAATAATGTTTAATGGAGTACTAATGATAAAAACCTAATTTTTAAAGGACTTTTTTAATACCTACTGTTGTATTTAGGAGTATTTTCTTGACAGGATAGTCATCATTAGTCTGAGTTCTACAAAACAGTACCCACATGCACCGACCCATATGAAATAACTGAATTTCAGTGAAAGTAGATGTTTGTATTTCCCAAGTGTATTCCATTTTCCACCTTGTGTGCGCTAACACAGTGATTAAATGACTGCATTCCAAATATTGCAGAAGCGATGTAATTCTATTACACAAAAGATCTTTATGGTTCTCTGACAGTGCTAAAGAAGTCTTAAAATGCCAATTTTATACACTTTTCTCCACTTCTTCTCCTGTCCTTTTGAAAAATACCTCTTCTGTGGAACACCTCCTCAGCCAGGGTGAATTAAGTGCAATTGCTGTTCCCTTGACCTGTGTCAGACCCTTGATTTAGGTAGAATGGTAAGGAAGATTGCAGGGATGGTGTAGACGTGATCATAGCACATTTCTATCAGCCTTCTTTTTATATATGTGTATGTTTAAAAATACCTGCTCTGACTTGCACCAAGTGTTTGTTGTGGCCTCAGAACACGAGGGATGTCAAAGTTGCCCAAGTAGCAAAGTTGTTATTCTCCTTTTATTCATTTTCACCTTGTTTGTGCCCCAAATTCAAATCTGAATCTCAGACAGGAATCTGAGAATCAGATTGAGCAGAGTGAATATCAGTAGGAGAAGCAATGCGTTATCTTAAAAATAAGTTCTTTAGCTCTTGGTAACACTTTTCATAAAGTCCTTGTACTTTGAAGGTTTGTATTCTAAGATATAATCTTTCCCATCAATTTTCATCAACTACAGGAAAAAAAAATTGTACTTTTTCTTTCTTTTTTTCTTTTTTAGGAAGCTTTTTGGGCACTCCTGGGAGCATAAAGTCATCTTCTGGAAGTTCAGTTCAGTCTCCCCAGGATTTTTTGAGTTTTACAGACACAGATCTTCGAAGTGAGAGTTTCACGCATTCTCAACAGGCTTCCTCAACCAAAGATGTACATAAAGGAGAGGCTGGGAGTCAAGAAGGGGGTGTCAATTGTTTCACTTCCTTAATTGGTCTCCCTTCATCATCGGCTGTTTCCCAGTCTAAAAACTTTGACAGCTCGCCTGGAGACATAGGTAATTCAAGCCTTACTTCTACAGCATACAAACGAGCTCAAACTTCTGGAATAGAAGAAGAAACTGTGACAGAGAAGAAACGGAAAGGAAATAAGCAAAGTAAACATGGGCCTGGTAGACCCAAAGGAAATAAAAGTCAAGAAAGTATTTCCCATCTTTCAGTTTCTTCTGCTTCCCCAACTTCATCTGTGGCATCTGCTGCAGGAAGTGTGACAAGTTCTGGTCTTCAAAAATCTCCAACTTTGCTCAGGAATGGAAGTTTACAAAGTCTTAGTGTTGGCTCATCTCCAGTGGGTTCAGGTAGGCATTTATTGGATTTGTTTTCTTACCTCAAAATACGTCTTTAATTATTTTAGTCGTAATTCTGAGTATGCTTTTCAAGAACAGACTATCATTTAAAGAAACTTGAAAGTAGCATTGTGGAAAAAAAGTAAAAATTAGAACATGACTGTTGGAAGAATAAGTTTTGTTCCATGTATAGGTGCCACTGTGCTGCAGGTATCTGTAGTAGATTGACCTGTGTATTGACTTCTATGCTATATAAATGCAGGTTTTGAGACTGTAAGGGGGAAAAATAAGTTGCATGAAAGTAGGTTCTTTGGAAATTGTGTGTGACAGGTTTAGCTAAAATAAGTGATACTTTATACAGGCTATATTGTCTATATGTTCTGTTTCATAGAGAAAACAAAACCAGCACTCAAGCATGTCAGCTGTGCTGAGTATGTCCCTCAATTATTTTTTCCCAGTTTAGCTTAACTAAAAATCAGAATGTCTATATGGACAATTATAATTTTAAACATGTAAAAGGATACTCTGAATCTGGACCCCTGTGTAGCTGGATGACGTTTTCATATTCTTCTGTGCTCTTTAGCAATTGAAGTTGGCTGGTTTGTTCTTCCTCTGTTCTAAATGTTATGTGCAGTGAGAGGCTTTCTGTTCCCAGTAAACCTGTGTGTGGAATGACCTTGCAGAATACTGTATCTACCAAAGTCTCTGTTGCTTTGAAGTTTCTTTCGAGGCCTTTGTGTTTCAATAAAAAAAATAGCAAACTATCTGACACCTTGTTTTTGTAACTTTGAAATTTTGTCCTTTCTGTTGTTCAAGTGGATTTTTTGCTTAATTTTTCTTTTTTTGGGGGAAAGAGGAATGGAACTTAAATATTTGCTTGTGGGCAGGGTTTAATGCTTTTATAGTGTATATTTTCATGTATAAGCAAGAGATGCTTTAAAAATATATGTGCTTCAGGAAACAAAACACTTTGTATTTGTTTCAGAACAAGGCAGGTGGCAGCTATATTAAAAAAATATTTTTCCTGCATTGAAATCAATAGGGAGAAATGGTGTGTGACAAAACTTCCTAGTTCACTGTCCATCTTTTTGATTAAAATGCAGTTTTAAAAACATGTCAACCTTGTATCTGTTATGGACAGAGATCATCCAACAGGTATAGATCAGTGTTCTGATTATTTTAGTATGAACTTTTGTATTCCTTTGTAATCCCTTTGAGGTTCATTATGTATTGTTGTAGTTGGGGTAACAGATGGAATTACAAGACCTTGGTTTGAAGTGAATGACCCATGTTTCCCCTCTTATATTTGTCTTAGGTATTCTGGTCTTTTCAGCTCCTAGAACAGGCTTTTCCCTGGCCAGGTCCATCTTTGCTTCCTTTGTCCTCTTTACATCTCACTCTTCCATCTATAAAAAGCCAGTGATTATGTTAAACTCTCTTTGTAAAAAGCTTTGAAATACATGGATGGAAATACCGGGTAGGTTTTATTACCTTTATCATGATATTCAGCCTATAGTTTCACCTTTGTTAAGCATACTTAGATTCTTGCTAGCCAGCATTAGACCTGTCCTCTAAATCAGTGATATTTTCTGAAGGTGCCAAAGAATACCAATGAAAAACAAATGAATGAACATTATCCATAAACAAAATCACCCCAACAAAAACTAGAAAACCCAAAGAAACAAAAACAGATGGGATGTCTTTGCCTTCAAGCATGAGCTCTAAATTTATCCAGAAACTTCTGCTTAAGTCTGAGCATATTGTTTTAATGTACTCTTCTTCCTGATTTCCACTTTTTCTTATGGTTTTAGTGCTGCTTTCCTCACTTCATCATAAGTGTTTTCTGGGTTTAGCAGTCCATTTACAACTTTGTTACAATGAGGAAGGGCGTATGAGTATTATCAGTATTATCAGAAACATACATTTTCTCAGGTATGATATGCTGATGTTTCTCTTTGAAATGTGTCTATATTGTCTACTAACAAAATCTGACAAGTGAAGCTAAACAATTTGACCCAAAACCCCAAATAAGTTTGTGCATGTAAATGTAGTGAGAGAAAATGCAGGGGAAGTCAAGCCAAAAAGTTTTTTTACTGACTCTTACTTGGAATTGCCTTGTTACTTCAAAGAAGCAGAATCAGGAATGAGTTAGACCATAGTAAACAAAGCTTTTAAGGCACTTTTTCAAAAAATGTCTTCCTAATTTTTTTTTTTAAATAACCTTCTTAACTGCAGCTGTCTTAAGCTACTATTCTTTTTCCATTTTCTTAAGAGTACTTGTTGAAATCCATAAAAATGATGAAAGTCATTACTTCACAGATGTATGATAATCCTGTTCATAATTAATGTTCAAATTAGGTGAAATGTGAAGGAAAGCTTATTTTAAAAGGTAGATTCATCATGTGCTATTTATACATAATTAAATGTCTTCCATAAAACTTTTATTCAGAATAAGTACATTCAGCTCATTTTGTGAAAATATTTGTCCTCTCGAAACTTTTTTCCAGTCCACAGAATTTCTGTTTTCCTGCTTAATAAGAACAGAGATGTACCATGAATAGTAAGGCCATGTAATTGAAAGCTGTTACAATGCATACACTCAGGTTGTATTACAGTTGCCATGCAACTAATCTGATATGTTCAAAATTTTGAGCACTTAAATGTCCAATCTTAATGCTCTTTATAATTTTTTCTGAAATGTATTTATCATCTGATAGGAAACACTTTTAACAGTGTACTCAAAGGAATGAAAAGTAATTTAAAAAAATGAAATAAAATTTGGTTGGTAGGGTGATAAGGAATTTTTATATTAAATTAACATTTTTCTAGTACATCTGTTCCTGTTAAAAGAAAGAAAAGCTTCCTTAGCCAGTAGCAGCTTATTTACAAACCATGCTTCTCTTTCTGCTGGAAATTCACAAGTACTGTAAGTTTATTGTCTAAGAAGACATAAGTCAGTTGTCAGTGGGAGTTATATAAAGTTGATACCAGTTCCCCCAAAATGGGACTGGTCTTTGGAGTGATTTCAGGATCTGAATTTTTTAATGGGGGAGGGTTTCATCTGAACTCTACGATTTTATAGAGCTATTTAACTTTCTAAGTCACACTAGTATTTTCAGGATCAAGTTAATTCTCAGCATCCTTCTAGGGAATAATACTTAAAGATTTCTAGTCTGAAGTATTGTAAAGCAGTGATCCCTTCTGCTGAAGATGTTTATTTTTTTCTTTTCACAACAATGGTTATTAAAGAACGGAAAACCTTCATCCAGGGATTGGAAGAGATGAGTAGCATCTTGTCCCAATGCTTATCTCTGCTAGTAGTAGATTCCAAGATCAAATGTTTCTTTTACCATACTTGCACTTTATTTCAACAATACTGCAGAAACTAATAAGGTGGTGGGAAGAACAAAATAACTGTTACGGTAAATAACTTTCATACGTTCTGTATTTTTCTGTCAAGCAGTTTGTGCAGACTCTGGCCCCTCTTTTTTTGGAGTATACTCCAGTGTGTGAAGAACTTTCTGAGAATTCGTGTCCCACAGCAATAGGGAAAAAATAATTTTGTGTGATGTACAGTACCTTCTAACATTTGTGGAATAATGCAGCAAGGTAAATGAAAAGCAATCAAGTGTCAGAAGTAAACTGAAATTTCTGTTTTATGGTAGCTAAAGTTCTTGCACAGTTATCTTCCAAGTTCTGCATAGGTACTTGCTGCTGGAAGAATTACGGTGCTTCAAGCATATAAGGATGCTTCTCTGTCTTTCCTAGTTCTGTTCTTGATTTCAAGTGTACAACAAATTGTATAGTATCAGCTTCAGTTGCTTAGGACTTCAGAGGATCATTTGTTTCAATATTTTAATTTTTGCATAATTGATTTTATGCCCTTACAAGTACTGTAAGCCCTACAGGAGCTTATAAAGCAATTCTTTTTTTCCCTAAGAAGACTGGAGAAGGTTGAATTCCAAACTGGGCCTCTTTCAGCACCCTCGCTCTGCCCATCTTCTGGAATTCCTTTGTCACAATTGAGGCAACCTTATAATTTGTCTTCCTACATTTTTATCTCTACATCATAAGTATTCAACCCTTGACCAGTCTTTGGTATACTCTACTCTGGTTGGTAATACTAGACAGTTTTTGGAATAAAGGACATATCCGAACCCAGTATTGTAATATAGCAATAGTTCAAACTCTGATTTAGAAACAGTTAATGTTTTTTGGCACAGGCCCCTCTGGGTTGATTTTATGTCTTGTGCAGTCAAATTTCAGCTTTATATAGGAGTTAAATGCTTCAGCTTAGTCCATATATTTTATTCTCCTTTCTTTTCTGATTCAAGCAGTGACGAAGCCTCTGCCAAGTGTTGTGCTCCTGTGCAAGGAGATGATCTTACTGTTAAGCTGTCATACTGGTGATGTAAGAGAACTGTCAGCTTCAAAGTAGATGAGTAACTTGAAATCATTCTCATTGAGATACTGAATCCCTCAGAGCTTGTGTTAAATCTTTGTGATGTTATGTTTAAACTCCTGTAGCCTTTGACTTAATAGTTAAATCTGTTGGGAGAAAGAGTTTACTAAAAATTATCCTGAAACAGTTTGTGCTATTACATTTATCTGCTAGGTGCCCCAGAAGCCAAAGCAGAAAAAGAAGTCTTGCTGTGTTAAAAAGCCAGTTCGTATTCCAGAGGACACAGAAGGAAGAAATTGATGTTAATAGATATTAATGACCTTTTAGGAGTCAGTAAACGGTGTAGAAAACACACAAGGCAAAATTTCATGTGCAGAGAATTTAATTCTTCATATTTGAGGCTCAACAGAAATGGTGTTGGTTTGATACAGGATTAAAATGTTAAAATTGATGATTGTTGGTGTAGAAAACACGGAGACATTCATCAAGTAATTGGGAAGAAATCACATGATGAGGTAGTAGCAGCTTATGAAAATGGGGGTTATCATGAAATGGATTCCCCAATCAATGTTCTTAACTAAAACAGGTGTTAGCAGCAGCTACAGACAGA